AAAAACATTACTTCTTCACACCATTATTCTTACTAACGTTGTACTAAGGTTTTCTTTAGAATTCTCTAATTATATGACTTTATACAGACCCTCCACTTGGAGTTAAATTTTATCCAGCTAAATGGTATTCGACTTATAATACATTCTTTTCCAATTAAGAGAAAGAGAGAGTGAGAGAGAAAATAGCAGTTTTTCCATTGAATAGAACAAGGACACAATCTCTAGCACTAACACTGAGCCATGATACTGAAGTGGACATGTGATTGGGGTTGGGCTTTATTTTTGTTTGTTTTTGTTTTATGCTTGTTTTGCAGTGGTTTTCTATTCAGCATCCACTTTCCTTCGGACTTTTGGGAAAGATCCCCATCCTGTGCCTAGGTATGACACAGGGTCCTGCCTCACTTATAGAGGCAGCACCCTCCCAAAGAGTCAGGACATGAGCACGTGAACCCAGAGGCTCATCCAATAGGACTTTAAATCTAGAGCAAGTGGCCCAAAGGAGGTGCAAGATGGCAACTGCAGGGGACAGCAGGTTCAGGAACCAGCCACAGAGGTCAGAGGATACTTACTGGCCCTCTATGATCTCTGACCCATAAGTGAGTGTTAGTTAGGATTTTTTCAGTCTTAGGTGATAGAAAATCCAAGGCAGACTGGCTTAAGCAAAAAAGGAAATGCACTGACCCCAGTAAACAGAAGGAAATTTAACATTTATTTCTTAACACTTCATGAGTAGCTCCATCCAAAGCTCAAAGGATGTGACTAGGACCCCATTTATCATTCCCCTTTTCTTACTCTGCTTCTTTAGTGTTAGCTAAATTCGAGGCAGAGCAACCCATTAAGGGAAGAAAATGATTGGCAAAGTTCTGAGCCTATCTCTTTCCAGATTTACCTCCAGGAAGAAAGAGGGTAAGTCACTTCCTCTAAATATCAAGCAAAAGCAAAGAAATTGAGGTTCTTATTGGCCCAATCCAGATCTCATGTCCATCTCTGAACTAAAGACTGTGGTCATGCATATGCAAGGCACTGGATTTCTTAGTCTAGCCAAGGTGATTCTTCCCCTGAGGCCTGGGAGCCAAGCGTGGGGAAGGGGATCATTGGGGAAATGGTTATCAGGACAAGGGTGAACAAGTGAATGGATGCCAGGCAGCAGAAACCAAGGACTAAGAGCCATTTGCACAGACTAAAAGATTCCAGTGTAAGCACATAAAAAAGGGCAGAAAATGTTACATATCAAATGTTCCTCATCAAGCAGATGGAACCCCCATTCCTCAGTCATATAGGTCATGGGGGTCAATGAACAAAGTTGTTCAATAAACCAAGCTCCTGGGATCCTAACGAGTTGACACAATAAATACCATCAGTGCACATTCCAATCTAGGTATAGTGTTTTTCAATGCATCATATAAGCCATGGATTTAGCCATTTCATAAAACAAGAAAATTATGATTTTCCTTTTTCTATCTTCTTGAATACACATTAATGTCTCATAGATCCAATGCTAGGTACTAGAGTGCATTTTCCAAAATGTACCTCTTGAAATGGCCCAGACTTTCTCAACTTTAATTATTTTACTATAAATCCTCCTAAAATGCGTGACACATTTCCCCATCTCAATAACCAGACAGTTGAACACAATTTAACCTGACACTGGTATTCTCTGATCTCCTAGAGCGATGCCCTCAGGTGCTATTGAGGTTTATTGCACTTTTTGTCCTCATACCAAATGGTGCCAGGCCACCCTGCTTCCTTTGCTGGGTGCTGTGACACTGTGGACTATTATGACCTAATCTGGTCTGGAGTGTCTGAAAATGCTTCTAGACCCCAGATCCACTAGTGTAATGCACAACTCTAATATTTGTAATAGCTGATCTTAATGTATTTGCAGATTTGCAAGTATAAACATAGTATGTCACATAATTAGATTAAGAGGCTTTCTAAAAAGGAATGACAATCCTCTTTCATCCCCAGTTTTCTTGTTGCACATAACTCCTTTGATTGCACCAATGTAGAAACAACACAGGTCCCAAAGCCTAGGTCTAAAGACAAAAACAAAAACTTTGCCTCTAAAGCAACCCTTAGCCTCTAGGAACTTGCACCAATAGGAAGCTGACTATCAAAGATGGGCATCCCCCAAGGAAGGCATACTCTCCAACAGGAAGATGTTGTGGTCAGGAAGGATAAGGGAGAGGAAAGAACTTCCCAGAAGGTACAGCTGGGCCTCAGAGAGCAACAGATAAGGGAGTTCCTCCCAGAGAGTATAAACAGGTGTTAATGAAAGAATCCTCCTACTGAGAGGGGCCTCCCAATGCCTATCCATCATTGCTACGGACTGGTGACTGCTCTGCATCTCTCCTGAATGAGAATTTTTATTGCAGTGTGACTTCACTATTGTGTGGGGGCAGATAACTCTCAAACTCATTTTCAGCAGAACTGGGAGAGAGATCTAATACAGAGATTCCACCATATGTGTAAAGATTACCAAAAGAAGCTGAGATTGGACAGAAGCCATATGGGAAAAAATAAAGAGAAGAAGAACAGAGAATGATGAAAGGGCCCATCAGTGGCAAATCTGAGAAAGCACCAGCAAAAATCCAATTATGAAGGTGAGGGTCTCACCTTGAACTTCAAAAGAGATATCCTTGTTTGCACCAAGTGTGGATATAGGGTGAAGAAGGATAGCAACAGAAGCCCCCATGAACTTGATTTGGTCCAGAAAAACAGACGAGGAAGCACTATACAAAGAATAACACCGACGAGAACTCTGTTTCCTTGGCAGCAGGAAAGAGGAGAGTCTTGGGATGTGCTACCCAGAAGGTTACCCTACCTGGCTCTGCTATCCTCTCCCCAGCCCCGTGGAAACATTCAGCAGACAGCTGGTACAGGAATATCCAGTTAGTTTGACATCATGTATTTAAAAAAGAAATTCACACAGCATAAATATAAAGCTTCCATTAAAAAAATGTGAAAAGAACAGCAAAAGTTACCAATGGATGAAAGACACTCGGCAGAAAAACGTTGCCCCAACCAGACAAAAATTGTGACCAACTATGAAGTAATTACCTCTAAGAATCTTCAGAGAGAAACCATAAAGCAGAAATGCAAGAAGTCAGGAAAGAAATGGTGAGACACAAGTGAAGAGGAAATGAGAGCTAATGGAATTCAGGAAAGAAATAGGAAAACAAATCTGCTAATGATCACAGAAATAAAAATGAAATTGGGAGGAGCACATGGCAGAACAGGCACTGAGAAAAAATACGAAAAAAGGAATAGAGAGGATAAAATCACCAAAATGAAAAACAAATTTTAAGAGTTAAAAAGGAGTAGAGGGAAAATGATAGACATAGAAGACAGCCAAAGTAGTGATGATATATGTATATTGGAATTCCAGAAGAACAAAAAAAAAACCATATAGCAGAGAAAATGAGAAGATTACAATCAAGAAAACTTTCCTATAATAAAAGGAACAAAACCTGGTAGTGTTAGCAGATGAAAAATAAAGAAATAATCATTTGAGTAGTCAAGCAAAAAGATCAAGTCACTTATAAAAGGGAAAACAAAATTGTTCTGGCATCAGATTTCTCCGTAGCAGCATAAACATCAGAAGAGAGTGAAATAACACCTACAAGACCCTTCGAAAAGAAAAATTGAGTCAAGGATTTCATTTCCAGGCAAAACGCCCTTCAAGTGTAAGGCTACCATTTTGAAAAATGCAAGGACTTGGAATATTTCTCCCATGAGCCATTCTTAAGGCAACGACTTGAAGATGAGTTTCAGCCAAGCATGTGATGATGAGGAAAAACAGGCAAAAAGGACTAGAGATGAACATTGACAATATTTAACTGTAGAATCATGACTAAAACAAATGCATCAGGGTAACAGAACAGAATGTGAATCCTATATCCTGATGTTATAGAACAATAAGAATAATTGGTAGCAGAAGAGGGAAAGAAATTGAGATGCTGAGTAAGTTCACTGACTGCATTATATATAATAGCTGAGAGCCAAGAGTTATCATTTAAAGTGAGCAAATCATCTAATAGAAACATAAGCGTGTTTAATAATTTAAAAGTAAACAGTGAAAGGACCGTGTCAATTAAAATTGTGTGGTGGATAAGGAGAGGGAGAAGAGATGACATCACCCATACTGGGGGATCTAATAGATACTGCTCAAAGAACAGAGCACTGAGGTTATTATATACAATTATAATCATAAAGTTAACCCCTAAGACAAAAATACAAAACTCCCAAGAAAAAAAGACACACACAAATATAATAAGACAAAAATTGGCGCAGGAACGAAGTAATCATAGATCACCATATGATCAGTTGTGAAGAGTGTTATACCTAGCCAAAAAAATGCAAATGTTCACTTTTGATCTAATTAAACTATATTGGGAAGATAGGAGAATGGGAAGAGAGCCCTTCTACAAGGGGGCAGTGAGGAAGAAAGAGAACTAATTCCTCATCTTCCACAAGGAGAAGTCAAGAAATAATCCCTAAAACTGAAAATTCACGAAGTGGCTATACAAGTGTGATATTTAAAGACATGGAGATGAATATCAAAATAACCAAGCAAAAGAGATGCAAGTGGCCGCCCCTGGGGGAGTGAAAAAAGGGAGAAGGGCAGAGACTGACGTTTTTCATAATAAACTTTGTAGAACATTTTGGTTCTTTCATATATAACTTTAATACAACATACGATTTTTAGAAAGGAATTTGAGCTCAACTGACCAATTCATACTTTGATTTTTCACTCTAACCCTTTCTTTAGGTCCTCCCAAACTAAAGGCTCCCTAGTCTTTCACTTTGAGAAATGAAATTCTTCATCCTGCTTTATTTTTCATTGAAAGCCACTACAACCGCTGCATTAATTTGACAGTGTTTCATAAGCCTCCTTTGAATCTCAAGCTGCCATGCATTCTATGAGGACAAAACGTTGACTAAGTGCCATTACTCAGGATGGCCTGCAGAGGAAAAGATATTAGCAAACGAGTGGATACCTATGGTGGTGATGACAGTTCCAGCAAAGAAAAAGGCACTTCCAAGGTCCCAGTGACTGCTATTGTTGGAAGAATTTCCTATTGGACTTACTCCTGCGTTGTCAGCATCCAGGGCATGCTGCAAAGAAAGTGAGAAAGCGTGAGACTCAGTTGAAAAGTTTAAAAAAAAAAAAAAAAACAAGCTCTTAAATGATTTCCCTCTCAAGAACCTGCCATGATCCCGCCCAGTTTCATTTCCTAGGCGCAGAACCACACCACTCGTCTGTCAGTGGCCATGCTGTGGTGGCAGCTCACATAGAAGAACTGGAATATACAACTATGTACTGAGGCTTTGGGGAGGAAAAAAAAAGAGAGACGAAGGTTGGCAACAGATGTTAGCTCACAGCGAATCTTTCCCAGCAGAAAAAAAAGAACCTGCCATGATCTATAGAAGAGGTTATGTGGATGAGGGTACAGTGATATACTATACACCTACTTAATAAAATTAGAAAATTAGTTTTAAGTGGGAAAAAAAACTAGGATATATAGTACAGTGCCATTTATGTAATATTTGCAGGCACAGGATTTACGCAATCCAGGCACAGGTTATTCAAAATGTATACATATTTGTTGTGCATGTACATAGAAAGATGTCTACAAGGATTGTCACCCAAGTGGTCATTGCTGGAAGGCAGGATTTCTGTTGCTTTTCACTTTTCTCTTTTCTGTTTTGTTAGAATGTTTTACACTGAGCTTGTTTCAGAAGTGCAGGAGTTAAGAGATTGGGTTCCTGGTCAGACCATCATGGCTCTGCCCATTATTAACTCCAGAACCTTGGGCAAGTTATTTTAATCTCTCCAAGCCCAAATTTCCTCATTTGCAAACTGGGGATATAATACCTTCCCCCATAGAATTGTTGTGAGGATTAAATGAGGTGATCCATGCAATGCACTTAGCTCAATGCCCAGCACTGAGTTAGCGTTTAACAAACAATAGCCAAGTTCATGATTCTCATTTCACTCCCCACAAACTCACACACACATATTGCTCCTTTTTAAAATAAACAACAATGACTCTTCATTGGCTACTGGATTTGGAATTCCATACACTTTTAAATTCCCAATAAATTGGCCACATTGATGGTCCAACCTCATCTCACACTACTATAAGCCTCCGGTCCTGGCAGGACACTCCGTGAGATAGTCTCTCAAACTTCTGGACCTTTGCTTATACCCTCCTCCAAATGTACCTATCCTTCAGGGTCTAACCCAGGCTCCCTTCTTCCAGGAGGCTCAGTCCATTCATTGCAGCCCCCACAGATGCCCCTTTCCCAGAGCTCATACTTCTGCACCAAGTATATTTAATTGGCTTTTGATTACACACTCCCCTGCCGAAAATCCTTCCCTAGCCTCACTCAGTATGCACAGAAAAAGGTGGAAAATCCCTCAGCAGCCCTTCCTAAGCTGGCCCCTGCTTTCAGGCCAGGGGAGACGGTAGGAGGAGCTTTCAAACAGGTGAGGTGTGGTGAGGAAGTGACAAGTGGGGGCTTCAGAGGGAGGGGACAGACATATGAGCTACTTCTGGAACAACAAATAGAGACTCTGATCCCTGGACAAGGTTGGAATAACCCCACACGGAGATAGTAAGACGCAACTAAATATTGAAATGTGATTATATTTATCCTAAATGATGCCCATTAAGCTTTGTTAAAACAGGAAGATTGGTTGCCGCAAATAAGATTACAACTGAACAAGTCAATCATCATTACATTTTGCCTTCATTAATCTGAGCTATATCCTTTCTCTAAACCAGGGATCAGCAACCTTTTTCCACAAAGGGCCAGATAGTAAATATTTTAGGCTTTGTCAACCACATATGGTTTCTGTTGCACATTTTTCTTTTCTTTTCTTTTTACAACCCTTTAAATACGCAAAAACAATTCTTAGCTCATGAGTTGAACAAATCAGGCTACGGGCTGGATTGGGTAGACCCCTAAATCATTGACTGGACAATAGAAAAAACAAATCTCTTTCGTTTAAGTCTTTAGTTTATTCTTTCCTGCCTCTAAAAACATGAAATATAACACTGGGCACTGTTTCTAACATAAACCTTGGCACTCCAGAATTTAAAATCCCGCTACGTGGGATGTGTACAGGCTGTCTTTGCCGATGGTTATGTCAGCCTAATTGACAACAATCACTTATTCATCAGGAGCTATGCTCTGCTCCGCTTTAGAAGGAAGACAGATGGTGAGTCCTTTCTGGTGGTAAAATATCCATTTTCACTACGCCGACAGTGTCACCAGACCAAACCACAGGTCTTAACTAGTGTTTATATCCTCATTATCTATTCAGTTCTGATGGGCCCACCTGGAAATAATACCTCAGGGACAGTCACTTAGGTGGCCTCAAATCACGCCATCAATCCCTAATATTTACAACTTCTGCGAAGCTGCAAAGAGAATTTGCGTTCAATAAAGACTCACTGCACTGAGAATTGCCCATAAACATCATAAGCAGACCCAGTGCTGCATATAAAAATTCAGCTTTGCAGCAAAGACAAGCGGGGATGGTTATTTATTTCATCAAAAAATCCGAAGTAAGACTCCTTTTCAAGTTTAATCTTTTTGAATTATGCAACTTATAAATATTTAATGTTTACATATGTAACCCTCAAGGAAACTGTTTATCAGTTGAAAGGAAAGGAAAGTAACATTTGTTGAGCTCCTGCATCGAGCCAGGCACCTTAGAAGTGTTATTCCATTTTATCTTTTCCACAACTTGTGTGTTATTCAATTTTATCCTTTCTACAACTTGCAAGAAAGTAATATTATCCTCACATGAGAGATAAGGAAACAGGCTCGGGAAAGTTAAGTAACTTACCCTAGGTCACACAGCCAGGAAATGGAGAAGCCAGAATACAAACCTTAACTGGTCCAAAGCCATGGTTTTGCCCTTTCCTCTGCATATGACCTCCTCTTCCCCCAACTCCATACTCACCTCCAGACAGAAATGAGGGAGAAGGACTGCCATATCCAAGAATTTAGGGAGAAGGGACCACACAAGGGATCGTTTCTAATTAGATAACTTCCTTTAACATGTAAATGGAGGCACCAAACTTTATTTGACTGTTGGAGCTGGTGAGAGCTTAATTGCTCTGCGTTAAAAATAAAATTAAAAAACAAATAAAAATGGGGGAGGATTAACTTTATACCCTGAGAAAGAGGGAACAGAGAAAAGAGAGAGAAAGCCCAGAAAAAGGAGGAAGAGAAGAAAGGAAAAGAGAGAAAGGAGTGTTGATTGACACGTGGGAGCTTCAAGGTCAGTTTCAAAAACACCAGGGACTTTCGAAGGGCAGGTCCATCTAGTATCCAGTTTTAACTTGCTTTATTCCTGTGATGTAAATTCCTCTCTTGCTCCCCCAAATCTTCAGTAAAGTGGGCTACACATGCAAATGTCTTGGGGAAATGGTTTTGTGGAAATTAATATATAAAGGTTGTTATGGGCACGGTGGGGCCAAAGCGTGATTTAGAACCAGAGGGAGAAGGAGAAAAATAAGCCCTCCAACAAGTCACCAAGCTCCTGGTAATGCTTTGGACAATCCCCAGTCCTGGGAATGAGGTTTGATTCTATCTGGATCTTATGAGTCAGAAAGACTCTGGCAAACAACCAGAATTAAAATGAATTGGCAAATTCAGGTTATATACATAGAGGGAAAACCCAGTGTAAACAAACTTTATCACTTGAATTAGCAGCATCATTTTTAACTCAATGAGAATATTTCCGATTGAGTTCATTGTTCTAACTTTATTAATTTTCTGAAGTGTTTTCTAATGATCTTAATTGTTTGAACTCAAGTAAAATATTTTTAAATTAAATGCATTTGCTTTTAAGTTTTTTTTTCTCCTCTGCATTCAGGCTACAAAAATGAAGATAAGCCAGCCCATTAGAAATGTCTGAGCACATAGATCATGAAAGGACGCAAATGAGTCGTGTACAGTTTGGCTTAAAAGATCAGTTATAGGGTAGAGGTTCAACCAACATCAGCATCATTTTAGGCCACAATCTCAGACTCAAGGAGCAGCATGTGCTCACTTACAAGTTCAACCATTATCAAGTTCAGAGAGGCCTTACGAGGACCAAAAATAAATTATACTCGAAGTGATGTGCGAGCTTCAAGCTTCAAGGAAAGGGCACTATAGATAAGAAGGCATTGCTTTAAAATTTAATTCCACCCCTTCTTGAATTTCCTTTCTAGGCTCTAAGTTGGAATTACCAGCACCCACCCAAGTATGCAATAAACAGTTCATGAGTGAATGCTTAAATCAGTAACAAATGAATGAAAAAAGTAAAGTAATAAATTTAGGCACATGATCTTCCCAGAGGTGTGAGAGGAAAGCAATTTACTTCTTCATAAAATCAGACAAACACAAGAAAGTAACCCAATAAAAAGAAATATAATGATTAATATATTTTATTATATTAATAATATAGAGCTGACTTAAGAGGGCAAGATCTAAAAGAGTAGAAGGGTGGTTACCAGTGGCTGGGGGTGGGAGAAACAGAGAGATGTTGTTCAAAGAGTAAAAACTCCCAGTTAGAAGATGATAAGTTCTGGAGATCTAACATACAGCATGATGATTGTAGCTAGTAAGACTGCATTATATACTCGAAAGTTGCTATGAGAGTAGATCTTAAATATTCTCACCACAAAAAAGGAAATGGTAATTATGTGACAGGATGGAGGTGTTAGCTGGTGGTAACCATATTGCAGTCTATAAATGTATCAAATCAATATGTTGTACATCTTAAATTTACACAATGTTATATGTCAATTATATCTCAATAAAACTGGAAAATAAATGAATAAAAGACTCTGTTTCTCTCTCTCTCCATCCTCCCGCTCCCCGGGCATTAGGATCACCTGAAAGATATAATGGAGAAACTGCAGCCTCTCACACACAAAGTGAGGTGAGTCTGAAGTTGATGTGAAGGAAGAGAGAAGGGGGGAGGTCAAGATCCCTCAGAAGCTCCCAACCACTTTCCCCCAGTGCTGTAATCGCATAAGCCAATGCCGGGCTACATAAATCACTGTTCCAGACGGTACAAGATACCATCATGAGTGCTAGTGCTACCCTGC